TACCCTATGTATGTACGCATATGTGTGTGCATACTCCTTTCCCTGAACTCTTAATAGGCTGTATTAATTAGCATTCTCCAGAGAAACAGAACCAATAGGAGATATAGACAGATATAGATTATATAAATTTATGTTAATTATATTATAATAACATATTCATGATAATATATTATTAGAGTATATGTATAGTCAATATATATTTAGATAACATTTATAACATGTTTAATTACAATAATATATTAATGTGATACTTACTATATAGGCATTTATTATAAGGAGTTGGTTCATACAATTATGGAGGCTGGCAAATCCAAAAACTTCAGTGTGGGCCCACAGGCTGGAGAACCAGGCGAGCTGATGCTCTAGTTTGAGTCTGGAGGCCATTTGCTGGAGAATTCTCTCTTGCCTGGAGGAGGCCAGTCTTCTGTTCCATTCAGACCTTCAACTGATAAGTCGAGGCCCACTCACACTATGGAGGGCAATCTGCTTTAACAAATGTCCACCTATTTAAATGCTAACCTCACCCCAAAACACGCTCACAGAATAATGTTCTTGTTGATTGTTAGGACCTTTATATATAATCCAGTTATTAATCCTTTGTTGGTTTTAGATGTTGCACCTATTTCTTTACAGTCTGTCATTTGCCTTTTAGTTTATGGAATCTTCTGTAAAGACATTTTCATTTTTGTGTAGTTAGGCTTGCCTAAGTCTTCATGATTTGTGTTTACCTCAGGAAAACCTGACAACCACTAGGTTACAACGAAAACGTTCTCCTCTGGTTCCCCTAAAATGTTTACATTTAGCTCTTTAAGGCAGTAGGAGTAGAGGTTAGGAACCTGGATGCTGAAAGAGACTGCTTGGGTTGGAATCATGGCTCCCATTATGAGTATGCTGAAATAAAATTAGTTTCATATGAATTTTGCCTATTTAGTCAACAAATATCTTTTTTTTTTTTTTTTTTTTTTGGCAGTACGCGGGCCTCTCACTGTTGTGGCCTCTCCCGTTGCGCAGCACGGGCTCCGGATGCACAGGCTCAGCGGCCATGGCTCATGGGCCCAGCCGCTCCGCGGCACGTGGGATCTTCCCAAACCGGGGCACGAACCCGTGTCCCCTGCATCGGCAGGCGGACTCTCAACCACTGCGCCACCAGGGAAGCCCAACAAATATCTTTTAAGCACGTATTTGATGCCAGACACTGTTTATATAATACAGCAGTAAACAAAACAAAACCCCTTACCATTATGGAACTGACACTCTAGTGGATAACAAGCTAACATTTACTGAGCCCTCACTATGTCACTCACTTTACTAAATCATTTAATCCCCGTAACAACCTTATAAGGTAGGTACTATACTATTATTATTCCCATTTTTCCGATGAGGAAGAGGAGGCATGGAGAGGTTAAGTGACACCTCCCCACCCCCACCCCAAGGCCACACAACCAGTAAGTGGCAGGGTCAGGGTTTGAACTTGGGCGTCCCATCTCCAGAGCATGCGCTTCAAGCCCTCACTACACTATGCTGTCTTCTTCTGTTGTGCAGAGGCGACATCTGTGAGGGTTAGGCTCTAGTTTCGTACGGCCAGATAGTTTTCCTAAAAGGCAGTGCCAGTTTAGGATTCCATCAATCCTTCACTCATGCTACCAAGTTTTATTTAGCAACTCCTATGCTGGCATTCATGAGGGACAAGACAGACACGATCTGTTGTCACAAAGTGATTACCATATAATGGGGACACAAATAAACAAAGGGTCCTCAGGAAACATGTGCCCAGTGCTGACAGAGGAGACACTGTCAAGCACTAGGAGCGTACCTGTGTCAGACTTGGTGGTTCAGGAAAGAGAGAGCAAACTTCTCAGGTGACCTTCTAAGAAGAATGGCGTCGCGCGGGTCACGTGGCTGGGGAGGAGCCTGTGCGGGAGTAGGTGTTGGGAAGAAGAATTAGCTGAGCCAGTGGGGTGGGGTTACTACGGCAGCAATGTCGGTGAAAGGAAATAGTAACGAACACCTGGTGGCGAGAGAGAGCAATGGAGGTTTAATTGAGTTTACAAGCTCCTTACAAGCGGAGTTTTAGGGTGTTTCTGCAAGAGATTAAACTGAGCATCAGTCCCTTCTAGAAAGGCTTGGTAAGCCACCTGAAAGAGAATGGACTTCGTTCTATGAAAGGTGGGGAGGCTCCGAAGGCTATTAAGAAAGAGAAAGACATTTCTTTTTTTAAATTTTATTTATTTATTTATTTTTGGCTGTGTTGGGTCTTTGTTGCTGTGCGCGGGCTCTCTAATTGCGGCGAGCGGGGGCTGCTCTTCGTTGCGAAGTGCGGGCTTCTCATTGCAGTGGCTTCTCTTGTTGCGGAGCACGGGCTCTAGGCATGCGGGCTTCAGTAGTTGTGGCGCACGGGCTCAGTTGCTCCGCGGCATGTGGGATCCTCCCAGACTAGGGCTCGGACCGGTGTCCCCTGCCTTGGCAGGCGGCTTCTTAAGCACTGCACCACCAGGGAAGGCAGAGAAAGACATATTTAGAATCACGTTTTAGGGACTTCCCTGGCGGTCCAGTGGTTAAGAATCTGCCTTCCAATGCAGGGGACGTGAGTTCGATCCCTGGTCAGGGAACTAAGATCCCACATGCCACAGGGCAACTAAGCCCGCGCGCTGCAACTACTGAGCCTGCACGCTCTAGAGCCCACACGCCACAACTAGAGAGAAGCCTGCACACTGCAACGAAAGATCCCTCATGCCTCAACGAAGATCCTGTGTGCCTCAACTAAGATCCGATGCAGCCAAAATAAAATTAAAAAAAAAACACACCAGAATCATGTTTTAGAAACACTACTCTGACTCCAGTGTGTGCAATATAGCGACCAAGGAAGCAAATTCAGTGAAGAAGCTATTACACTGAATCAGGAGAGAAAAGTAGAGTGGCCTCAACTGGGCCAGGGATAGTGGGAGCAATTTGAGATGAATTAAGGAGGCAGAATGGGCAGAACTTGCTGGCTCATTGGAGCGAGATATGGGGAGAAGTAAGCTTAACACTCAAGTTTCTGGTTTAGGAAACAGGGTGGATGGGGAATACTGGAAGAGCAGGTTTGTTCGGGGGGAGAAGGCATGAGAAGGTGATGGGTCCTGGTTTTGACCTATTAGGAATTGTGTGCATTGCAGGACATCAGTTGGCATTTGGGTGGTCTGCCAGAAGCTCAGGAGAGAGATCTGAACTATGGTTGCCCTTTTGAGAGGATTCTGCAGAAATATAATCTTCAAAAGGTGTGTAGAGTGAGAAGGGACAGCACCTGGGACCAAGGAACAGCAGTTATGGCCCAAGACACACTGAGGTGCCCACAAAGGAGACTGGAAATGGCAGTTTGAGAGGCAGGAGGAAACCCAGGAGCAGGGGGCATCATGGAACCCACGGGAAGAGAATGTTTCAAGATGAAGGGAGCAATCAGGAGGGGAAAAGAGGACTTTCTGCATTTAACCAGAAGATGGTGAGAGCAATTTTAATTCAGAGTCAAAATGGCTGGTCAGGGACTAGGAATAACTCCTTAGAGTACCTGCATCTCCAGCCTTTCTAAAGATGCTGAAGCAAGCTGCCTTCCCTCGAACCCACCCTACACTGGAGAATTAAGGGAAATGGGTTCAGTGGAGGAAATAATCCATTAAGCTATCCACCCTCAGGGGTATGCTTTAGGAGATTTGGGGAAAAACCCATAACTGAATCAAGGTGATTGGCTCTCCAGGGTGGTTGTAACCCAATCCCGTCAAGGAACTCCCTAAAGGTGGCAATAAATAGAGCTGTGTAGAGGGAGTGTGTCCTTCCTTCCAGGCAGAGGCAGCCTGGGGCCTGAGTGAGCCCTTGCTCATCAGGGAGCACCCTTCCTTGTAAGCCTTGCTCAGCACAGCTTTCTGCCTGCTCTGGTGAGTCTCAGCCTGGTAGAAGGGGCTTCCTAACTGGCTTCCTTTTGTAAAATTATGCTCACTCTTTGCTCTCTATGCCTTAGGCATGAGGGCACCCAGAGAGGTTATCTTAAGAAATACAGCCTCTCGGCTCCTTCTGGTTTAAATGGATTTGGATTTGAATTGGAAGTTTTCCCCACTTAGGTCAGAGACAATATGGCAGAGCAGAGGTTGTTGAAGCCACAGTGGTGGTGGTTGATACACGGTGGGCTTTAGGAGCTGTGAGGCAGGATTGCTCTGCCGGCAAGTCAGTTGCAGACGCCTGTGCTCTGGACCTCAAAATACAGGCCTGGGGAAAAAAAAGAAGAAGAAGAAACAAAATATAGGCCTGGAACCTGCTAACCTCTGTGGCCTCGATATCTCTGCCAACAGCTGGTGTCAGGGTCTCTCCCTGTGCTCAGGCCAGGTTGGCAGGGAGGACGTGCCCCCAAGCCAAGGCCCTCCGTGCCTCTTATTTTGTGTGGAGGCAGGAGGGCAAAGCAGGATATCTGAATTCTGGGTGGTGGGACCTGGGCGGGGCGCAGGGCGTGGTGTCCACCTCCACTCCATTTTTTCACAACAAACAAACCAATCAAATAAGACCTTTCGTTCCTTCAAAAAAATAAAATAAAATTATTAAACGCCTACAGCACTGAAAGCCACAAACTCTACCCTCATGGTGCTTACAGTCTAGTAGGGAAGAGATACGATAATATAATAAATATATAAAATATAAATTATCTAGGATATTTCACGTTGACTGGTGCTCTGGAGAAAAATAAAGCAGGGGAGAGGGACAGGGAGAAACAGGGTGGTAGGGAAGGCGTTTAGGAGATGCCTGTGTCTTAGAAAACTCTTCACATCAGTAGATGGGAGCTCCTGTAATTTTAATTGCTGAAGTACTTCGTTTTCAGGATGTGCCACACTTGTTTATCAAACTCCCCACTTTTATGATGGTTTCCCATCTTCCCTTACTCTGAATCATTTGACAGTTGTTGTATAGCACTCGTTAGATTCTAACAAGGATAACATTTCTGAAGTCAGCATGTGTTTTTTATTTCCTTGCTAGGTTCCTGGACTCCAGCAGCTGGTTCTGGTGTCCTGCTTTCCTCTTCATCCCTAGCTGGCCCACCCTCTGCACCCTCAGCTCAGGTGCACATGGCCTCCAGAGGCAGCAGACCCAAGCCCCAGAGCATTCCACTCAGCTTGGAGGGAATCCAACAGAACCAGCGGATGTGGTTGGTGAAGCTTCCTAAATACCTGTCACAGCAGTGGTCTGAAGCTTCTGGAAGCGGTGAAGTAGGGAAGCTGCAGATTGCCAAAAATCGGGGAAAGTCTGAAATCTCATTTATCTTGAATAAGGAACTTACAGACATTCGGGGTACAGATGGACAACCTGCCCCGGTCATTGCTCCCAGGGAGCATCAGCTTGTCTTGCAGGGGGTCAGAGGCCAGGTCCTCACAGTGCTGACTGAGCGTGCACCGGATCAGCTCTCCCTGGAAGGAACGGTGGTACATCGGGGAGAATGCAGACCTGCTCTGAGTGAAAACTACACGAGGCTGAAGAGAAAGCAAATAGAGGAGTCTTCCAAACCTGCCAGAACCGTACAGAAACTGGAGAAGGTAGTCACGACCAATTATAAACCTGTTGCCAATCATCAGTACAATATTGAATATGAGAAGAAAAAGAAAGAAAATGGAAAGAGAGTGAAGGCTGATAAAGACCAAGTTTTAACCTTGCTATTTGCTGCCTTTGAGAAACACCAGTATTATAACATAAAGGACTTGGTTGGTATCACTATGCAACCTGTGGCGTACCTGAAGGAAATCTTGAATGAAATCGGTGTTCAGAATGTAAAAGGGCCCCACAAAAACACATGGGAGCTAAAAGCAGAGTACCGGTATTGTCCGGCAGCAGCTAAGAGTGAGCGAGACAGCCCTTTGTCAAGAAGCGTCAACATGAGCGGGACAATCTTCCGATGCTAAAAGTGATGTGAGGCTGTGTTATTGCTAAGAGATAGGGCGATTAAATATCTTTTTAAGTATTCACATTTAGATTGTAAAACAGGGAAATAAAAAAAGATGTAAACGGAGAAAATGTTGTCTGAGGACTGCCCGTCTTTGCTGCATCCCCAAAGAGCTCAGCTCCTCTCAGTCTAAAGAGAAGTGTCATCAGAAACTGGACAGGGGTGGGACCGGGGGTGGGCCTGGAGTGGAGGGCAGGGTTGGCTGGGGTAGGCGTGGAGGCCAGCAAATTCTACATTCTAAAATTACCGAAGAACACAGTTGTTTTTGAAATGTTTAAAACGTATGGTCCTTTCATATGCAGAAACATCAATGAAAAATTATTTAGAGTAAGAGAGTGAGATAATTAAAACTGGCAGTTGCAGGTAGAGGAGGATGGACTCCGACTGATGGAGTGAAACGGGCTGCATTAGAGATCCTTTCCTTACTTCAAGGGAGTTGTGAGTTGTATCTTAAATTTGGATCCCTGATAGTTGCCTGAAACATCTTTTCAAGAGATTCCACTCCGGCAGCAAGCACTGAAATGAAAATTGACAAGGATAATGGCAACGATGACAATAATAATGGCTAACATTTATGCACTTGGTGTAAGCTAGGTGCTGTGCTCAGGACTTGGTATCATTTATTAGATAATTTTTTTCTTTCAGCAGCTCCACGAGGGAGATGTGGAGTCTCTCTTCTGCTCTCCCACCCCATCCTTCAAAGGCTGCTGAGGGACGTGGGGTTGAGGAATGGTTTTTTAATTTTTATTATTTTGGCTGCGCCGGGTCTTAGTTAGACGTGGAAGTCTGGAGGGCAGAGGAGGTCTGTTTCACTGCGTTGTTCAGGGTGTTCTGCTGCACGGGGACCGGTCTCATTCTTGGAATGTGCCGCGACAACGGGTACAAATGTTTCCTCTGGGCCAGGAGCTAGAGAGGGAGTTGGCGTGCTGTTATCCAGGGTCCAACGGGGCTGTCTGGAGGGGTGGAGAGACCTTGGTCGATGTAGGCTGAGAAGTGGCATCTGATGCCAGGGCTGCGGAAGGAATCATAAGCAGACACGCAGAGCAGAGGTGCCTTCCTCTGCGTCAGGCTTACCGAAGGAGAGATGTGGCAGTGATGGGAAACCTCCCAATAACCAGCTCAGCACCTGTGAGAGCACTGGCCTTCTTCATCTACCAGAGCCAACCAGAGCTGGCTTCCACCAGAGGGCTTGAAATCAGATCTCAGGAGTACCAGTTCACATTCTACTTTCCTTTCTCCTCCATCCTTACACGTTGGCGGGTCCCAAACAGTAGTTCATGAATAGGGGAGGAGACAGCAGGAAGCGAGGAGGGAGCAGAGTGATGAAGCTGTTCCCACGTGGGGAAGGTGAGAAGGCTCAACACCGAGCCATGTCTGGGCGTCCTTATCACTGTGTCAAGACTGTTTGGGACCTAAAGTGACTGTAGGCTATTTATTTCCTAGAGAAGAAAAGGGCGGGTTTGCCAGAGTCTCTTCCAGGGAAGGAGGTTACTCCATAAATGAATATTAAAGAGATGGTAAGAAGCAAAAAGAAAATTAGTTTGATTAAGTCTTGAATATTGCTTATTCAACTGGTGGGGGGAGTAACTCTAGTCAGGGGAGTAAGGTGAAGGCAGCCAATGTTGTGTGACTTTATTCCAACAACAGTCAGCTGCTGAGTACAGGCCCAGAGTCAGAGTTGGGGTTATCAAGGGTTGGAGGTTTTCTAGGTTAGTATGATGGGTGGAGAGAGGGGAGAGAGTTGAAGCTGTTTACAAAGATTTATAATGATGGAAAGGTGGAAAGTGGAGACAGGAAGGGACAGACAGATAGTGGAAAGTAAACAGCATCAAGTCCTGGGAGACCCCAGTGGGGCTGAAGAATTACTGGAGTGTAGGTACCAGAGAACCTGAACAGGAAAGATGGGAGGTGGTGGTCAGTGATGTTAAGTAACTTCTGTGAAGTTATAAAGCCACCAAGAGGGGAAATGGTGGCCTTCCATCAGTTAGACTGGTAGTCCCCAACTCATGCTCATTGTTTCTGTTCTATTACGAATGCTTGGAATAAATCTGACCTTTCCATCTTCATAACGTTCCCTCCTGGAAACCATGGTGTCAGCTTGAATGAATACTATATTTTCTACCACCAATTTTCTCCTTGTTTTCTATAGTTTTTCTAGGAAATAGCTCTTAGGTCCTCCCATACTCTCCCTTCCCATTTATGCTGGGCTGGGTCTCCATCTGTCACATACTTTCTTTTTTTTTTTTTGCGGTACGCGGGCCTCTCACTGTCGGGGCCTCTCCCGTTGCGGAGCACAGGCTCCGGACGCGCAGGCTCAGCGGCCATGGTTCATGGGCCCAGCCGCTCTGCGGCATGTGGGATCTTCCCAGAGCAGGGCACGAACCCATGTCCCCTGCATCGGCAGGCGGACTCTCAACCACTGCGCCACCAGGGAAGCTCTGTCATATTCTTTCTAAATAATGTCTCTGCCTGAAACAACCAGTTTTGTTTATTCCACACCTGGTATAAAACCTTAAGTGATTCCTTATTCACTGCTTCAAGTCATAGATGTCTACCTAATTTTCTAGGCCATCCACACTTTCTCCTGCTATTACTGAGAGCCTTCCATGAAATCTGAGTTCCAGTTACTCATAGAAGATGAATAAAGGGAATCATGCTCAATGTGATCTCATCGATGTCCTCAAAAGTAACAATTCTTGGGCCTTCCCTGGTGGCGCAGTGGTTGAGAGTCCACCTGCCGATGCAGGGGACACGGGTTCGTGCCCCAGTCCGGGAAGATCCCACATGCCGCAGAGCGGCTGGGCCCATGAACCATGGCCGCTGAGCCTGCGCGTCCGGAGCCTTTGCTCCGCAACGGGAGAGGCCACAGCAGTGAGAGGCCCGCGTACCGCAAAAAAAAAAAAAAAAAAAAAAAAAAGTAACAATTCTTATTGAAGTTCCAGAATGCTCTGAGTGACGCATGTAGTGCTGGCCAACCTGGGCTAGCTCCCAGAGAGGACACGCGTTTTCAGTCCAACACAGAGGAGCACATGGAGGAGGAATGAGCAGACGAGCCTTTCCCATCAGATCGCGTGGCACAGGACTTGCACTCAATGCATTCTCCCTAAATGAGTGAATGGCTTTCAATGCACGAACATTTACTAAATCTATCCATCCAATTAGACTGCTAAGGACAATTCATGGTTGAATTTAAGTCAATTTGAATAGGAAGTGAAGCTCTGGAAATTTTAAAAGCAAGTGAGGAAAGTGGCTTCAAGGACTTTATGGCTATAGAAGGTTAACAGTATTTGGAATGAAATGAATATCAAAATCATACAAATTCATTTTGAGGATTGCAATTCATTTAACCAGAACAATATGACTAAATTAAGCAAAGCGTGGCTCTGTATCCCAGATGTAGAGAGGCGCTAACAATTATATTCAGAACTGGTAGAGAAGTAATTATACTCCAATAAAGATGTTAAAAAAAAGGAAAGAAAAAACTGGTAGAGAGGGAGATTGAGAGACAGGAAGAGAGTACCAGCTACCTGGTACTACCAAAGCTACCTGCTTTGTACTAAACTCCTCTACTTATACCATTAAAATAAGAACTTATTTTATATATAAAATAGATAAACAACAAGGACCTACTGTGTAGCGCAGGGTAATAACCTAAAATGGAAAAGAATCTGAAAATGAATATATATATTATATAATCATACAAGTATTATATATATAATCAGTTTGTTGTACATCTGAAACTATAAAACATTGTAAACTAACTATACTTCAATTTAAGAAAAGAATTTATTCAATGCTTATTGATTTTTGTCTCCACTGAGAGTCTTTCAAATAAGTCATAGTCATACTTTTTTTTATTGAGGTATAATTGACATATATCATTATATTAATTTTAGGTATACAACATAATGATTCAATATTTGTATATACCGTAATATGATTATCACGGTAAGTCTAGTTAACATCTGTCACCATACATAGTTACAAAAATAGTTTTTTCTTGTGATGAGAACTTTTAAGATTTACTGTCTTAGTAACTTTCAAATGTGCAATAGAGTCTCATTAACTGTAGTCACCATGCTGTACGTTATATCTCCAGGACTTATTCACTTTATGACTGGAAGCTGTGCCTTTTGATTCCCTTCACCCATTTCGCCCCCTACCCCTTTGGCAATTACCAATCTGTTCTCTATGGTATGAACCTGTTGTTGTTGTTTTTAAAAAAATATTCCACACATAAGTGAGACCATAACGTATCTTTCTCAGTCTGACTTATTTCAATTAGCAAAATGCCCTCAAGGTCCATCCATATTGTCACAAACAACAAGATTTCCTTCTCTTATGGCTGAATAATATTCCCTTGTGTGTGTGTGTGCACGCGTGGGCATGCATGCATCACATTTTCTTTATCCATTTATCTATGGATGGACATTTAGGTTGTTTCCATATCTTGGCTATTGTAAATAATGCTGCAATAAACATGGGGGTGCAGACATCTTTTTGAATTAGTGTTTTCCTTTTCCTCAGATAAGTACCTGAAAATGGAATTGCTGGATCATATGATAGTTCTATTTTTAATTTTTTGAGGAAACTCCATACTGTTTTCCACTGTGGCTGTACCAGTTAAGCCATGGTCGTCCTTGATGTCTGAGTGAAAGAACTTGCAATCAGAATTCTGGGTGGTGAAGGGACTACACACAAGAAGCCCATCAAGGATTACCAAGAACTACACTCTTTAGAGATTATTTAGCAGCAGGATAGCCCTGGCCTAAGAGATGTTACTCTTTTCCAATTCTGAAGCTCAGCATGAAGGCAAAGGGCAGATGAGAAAGAGATCAAAAGTAAAGATGACAATCGTAGTCACCTGAGGGTAACATTTCCAAGATTTGGGGAATAGGGACAATGCGAGAGGAGAAAAGTAACTCCCTAAGTGAAACCTGATAGCCATTCCAGGACTTAGGCATTAATTTAACAAAGCTTAATACAAACCAAAACTTTAACGAAAATAACTATTTCCTATTTAAGAGGAAATTTTAAGTTGGGAGAAAGGCTTGATAAAGAAGTTGATTTA